TATATGCAGAATCACTTTTAATACTCATTTGGAGACTAAGTATAATAAAAGTGATTGTTTTAATGTACCATGTTCTTGTGAAGCAGAGAAATTTGTTTTGTGATTTTGCGCATTGAGACCTCAAGCCGTTTCTCTACTGAAATTAGCCTTTATAACATGTCATGAATTCATGTACCTTTTCAAAAGGTTATATCGTGTTTTTCTCCTATTACTATTATTTAAGTGCTATTGTGAGGCACATAAAAAAATATTTTGCATTTAAATCTAAATTTTTTAACCCTTCAACCACACATTATCCAAAAAAATCACTATTTCAGAACTCATTTTTCCCAAAATATTCTTTTTAATAGGCATCGGACTTAACATGGCCGGTTCACCCATTATGTTGATTCCTTGGGAATAAAGGTCACTTTTGGGAAAACACAGCCCGAATGTCCTCCATGTCCACTGTTACCTCCACTTTCTGAACATGCTCGAACCACCCTTTTCGATATGCAAAGATGGTTGGAAACAGATTTTAAGTGAATTTCTCATAAATGTCATTTGACTGCCTCCAGTTTTTGAAATTTCAATGTTGACAGTGTTAAGAATTCTATTCCTCTTCCTCTTCTATTTTCTGTTTTCTATCTACTTTCAAGATCAGTCAAGTCTTCTATTTCTTTACTTCCAAGCCAACTTATACAGAACACAAATATGCAAAATGGTAAATATTCTGAGGTATGCGATTTGCAAAATTTATTCTCTTTATGACATTTTCTTATTCACGCACTTGAAGGAAGTGCATGTTAAATCATTGTTGCTGCATTTTTCTTCTTACCTTATGCTGACTGCCATATTTAATTTATGATTGTTCCTCTTCAAAAGTCTTTGCTTCCTTCCCAATGTCTCGGAGACGCAGAACTCACTCAGGTTAGACTGATAATATAGAATGAATCTTACCATGTCTTAAGTATTAAATTAACTATAACCCCTCTTTTTATGTTCTAGTCTTGCACCAGAGATGTGAAAATCTAGAAGAATTCGTTTCAAGATTTTCTCAAGACCTTGTGCACCAGTTATTTGCATTAGCTTGATTGTTGGTGTTGGTGCTGATGCTGATATGAAGAGATTGTATTGTTCTTCTGTCGTCAAAACATGGATTCTAGTATCCAATTTGAATTTAGATAATCAATATATTATACTTCTGCCACTGGATAAAACATTGGAAGGTACTTTAATTCAGAAACAGTGGGATTTGTAACATCACGCATTCTCTGAAAATATGGTAAAGTCTGATTCTTTTGTTCTTTTACGTTACACACGACGCAGGTTCCATATCAGGTAGTTTTGTTAATAGCTGGATGCCACCTTGGGGTTCCACTGTTGTAGATGACATAGCTCCAATGTTCAGAGAGATTATGGAGATTGGACTGGATTGCTTTGACAATGGCCCAAATATTGAAAACAAAGAGTCCGGGCATTCGAGGATTTCCAAATTGTATACAGTTGATAACAGAATCCGTCAATTGTTAATGTAAGTTCTTTAGATGGATTTTAATATATTCATTCATGGACCACTTTACATTTGTATCGTGGTATCAGCGAATTTACTAGCATTAAAATGATGGATTGTTTATTTTTTTATTAAATTAATTTTATGCCAATATGGCCAAGTTCTGAACACCTTGTATTCAGTAAAAAGTATCTGTCTGAAGACGAGAGATTTACTGAATATCTCGACGAAACAATGTTGTGTTGGGAGAATCTGCCGATATTAAAAAATGAAGAGGTTTATCATATGCCGTCTGTTGGAAGCATTCTTGCAATACATGTGTTGCCAAGACCAAGCCCAGTTTTTGACAAATTCTGTACCCTTACCGTTGGAAGTGGCCAGGTTGAATTTGAGAAATTGTTGTAAGAAGAGAGTTGCAAGGTAATATTAATCTTTATTTCTCATACCTGATGAGAAAAACAAAAATTTGCCAAGATTGAAGTTTTTTTCATTTGACTTTACCGTGCAGGGAGCGTATAAATATTTTACGCCAAACAATGAGCTGATCGTAGCCTTGAAAAGCCACGACCTCTATGTTTACTCAGGCCATGGAGACGGTAAGTAACTAGAACATGTTTGATTGTGGCTTAAAAGTTACACTAGTGAATGTAAGTTCATAAAAAAACAAGATTTGTCAGTAAAAAAAAAAAAAAAAATTAGTTTGGAAATCGAGTTTCACAAATAAGTTACTTAAGTAAAGCATAGCAAGGCATGCATTCTGTTTTTTATTTTGTATTTCCAGAGAATCGTTAAACCCCGATTTCATTTTTACGTTACCATTTCAGGGTTGTACATTGACCTCTAGGAAAAGATTTGAGAACTCAATGGTGGTGCTGCTACAGTACTGTTGGGTTGCAAAAGTGGTGAACTAAAACTGAATAGGTTTTATGCCCCAGAAGGTGCTCCTATTTTGTATTTATCGATGGGTTCTCCTAACAAAGTGGTAATCTATGGAGTGTAAGCGGTGATGTTGATAAATTTGGTATGGCTTTATGTGCGAGTTGGTTTCAAGAGATAGCAAATGATTTGACTTGTGCTATACGTGATGTAATCAAATACAAGTCTGGGAGTCCATGCAATCACAGACGGAGGACTGGACCATTCACGAGACAAGTTCGAGAAGCTTGTCCATTCCCTTTTTTCACTGGAGCATCATTGGTTTTATATGGTGTTCCCACAAGTTTAAAGATATTCAATCATTATAAATATTTTTTGGAGATGGTTTATTATGAATTAATTGAGGAACCATGGCATTGTGTACTTATTTATGTAAATGAGAATAGCATTTTGAATTAAACATTATGAATTTTGCTCCCACAAGTTTAATTCTGATTTCAACATGTAGGGAAAAATTATTCCTTTTCGGTAACTTTTCAATTAATGTGGTTAGATGTTCGGAATTATTATGGAGGTGCAACAGTCTACCCATCATGAAATGTGGTTCAAAGTTGCCGGAAAACATCTAAAGTTCTTAGTTGAGGATGTGTGTCAGGCCATCGATCCGAAGTGCCATGGGGATGATAACACCAATATGTTCAAAATTGGTCAATGTCAAATTAGACGCAGGTATTTCAGATACATCAATAGTGTATAGGAAAGACGTTGAACTGGTTTTACCTCTCTTCCACACAATACTATTGATGAAAACATCGAGAAGCGGGGTATTCTTTATCTGGTATCCACATTCCTGCACACCAACACGCAGGACACAATGATATTCGATGGCACAATGCACCTGGTAGATTTCCCTTTTATGAATAGCTTCTCGTGGGAGAATAAGCTATTTCAAATGCGTACATGGATGTGAAGTTTGCGCTTGCCAAGCTTTCTCCGAACCCTGGTGATGCAAAGGATATAATGTCGTACAAACCCCGATTAAAAATAAAAACCCTCACGAATGATGATCTGGTTTCCAAAACTATCATCCCTTTATCCGTAATTCAGAAACGTGTACCACACAATGACAGAGTTGCTCATTTTTCTGAAGCAGGAAATATTTCAATGATTCGGCCATTTTCAAACAACATTCCACATGATATAAACTTCACGAAGGAGGATCTCATTCAAGTCGATGAGACCATAAAGAATGCTAGCAAGTTGAAAGGAAAGTCCGCACCTCAGATAAAACGCATATTTAATATAATTTTATTTCAATTATAACTAAATTTCCATTTGCACAAATGTATCGCAGTGTTGCTTTCATAAAACATGATTCAACCAATGTAAAAGTTTTTTTGCTAACTAAATTTTGTTGTTCTGTTTGATGCTTCTTGGTTTCAAGGGGATTCTAAGATTTCTATATCATACATGCAAGTGAATGACAAACCTGTGAAAGACCCACTAGTACAAGAGTTGTTCCGTGACGAGGTACCTAATAAACATTTAGAAAATAATTACTATTTGTATTTGCTGCTCGAAAAATGGAATCGGATTATTTTGCTGCTAAAAGATGCAGTATCTGTATGTTATCTTTAGCATGCTGCAAATAGCTTTAGGCTTGTTGAGTTGGATATCTGCTTATTGTTGTGACTTTGTATTCGCATTTGAACAGATTGACATTTTCCCTGACACAAATCCCATACTCTCAAGCAATCCTACCGTCGTCGTTTGTATGCGAATGTGCCTTTAACAATATAATTACATGTAATTGGAAACGTATGATCCATTACATAACGTTTGTTGTTCCATCGAACTTCGCAAAATAACACGTTCCCAAATTTTCACGTACTAAGAATGTTTCAAATCAAATAGTCACTCCTATTTCCCAGCAAGTACATAGCTCTTCCCATGTTATTTGCCATGGTAATGTTACTATTTACACTTCACATCACAAACATTAAGTTAATTTTATTTCTTATTATTTGTTATATATTCAACCTATTTTCACTAACACTTATGTCATTTCCGTTAATTCAAATTACAACCCCAAGTACTCAACACGTCAACCACCAAATTATCTCGTTTACTGAAGCAAGACAACATTTAACATTACATTAATATTAAAATTTTTTTTACCCAAATTGAATCAATGTGAGTTTGTGTGTATCACAGGGACAATCTACAACACCAGTCCCAAAATCTATGTGTTTAAGCAAGGGTTGGAAACTCTGGACATCGATGATGTTGAAGTTTTCGATAAATGGCTCGGGGACGATTATAGGCATGGACACATGTAAGTCCGAGTTTGACGATATGTAGTAATGCAAATTGGAGTCATTAAAATTATATATCGTTATTATATTTATCTCCATTTCAACAAATTCAAGTTTTCACCACTAAAGGACGCAATCAACTGATCATTTCAGTTCGGACTTTACGTTGTCGACTCTAAGACTTAAGTAGCAGGAGCTATACCAACACGCAGCACTTGAATGTGTGTTTCTTTTAACTTCTTTGGACAGCTTGCTTGCAGCACTTGAATGTGTGTTTCTACTACTTGCGGAAATGCTAAAATTCAACAATCTGATATCATACAGATGTACAATGGTCGATTCCTTCTTCGGTTATATGGTTCGGTCCACATACAAATCGTGCGTGGATGATATATGGATAGTATCAAACTTTAAATCACTGGTGGAATATGTGAACGGGGATTATATGCACTGCAACACGTGTTGGTTTGACATCGACCACGTCCTCATTCCAATAATGATGGAAAAGAAAGTACATTGGATTCTTGCTCACTTCAACATCAAAGATAGGTCTCTCTACATCTACCATTTAAGCCAATTAACAGTGAGAGAGAGGATGATGATCACCATTGAGACCTTTGCATATGTTCTGCCATGTTTGATGGTTAATATTAATATTGAGGAGCCTAAAATTGTCGATGGGGTCTAACAAGTTGATCATCTTACCATGAAGATTGTTACATATACCCCAGGACGAGTATGGGTGAGTACGTAATCAATCACTGGTTTATTACAATGTTCATTTCA